GAAAGAACTGAGGAAAAAATTAAAGCCTCAAGTTGCAATATTGAAAGATTCTATGGGCAAAATATTGAATGATGCAGGAAACATCAAGAGAAGATGGCAGAAATACACAGAGTCACTGTACCAAAAAGAACTGGTAGATCTTCATCCATTTCAGGAGGTGGCATATGATCAAGAATCAATGGTATTGAAGGAGGAAGTTGAAGTTGCACTGAAGGAACTGCTGAAGAACAAGGCTCCAGGAATTGACTGACCTATTGAGATGTTTCAACAAACACATGCCCAACTGAAGGCACTCACTCAGTTATGCCAAGAAATTCGGAAGACAGCTACCTGGCCAACTGACTGGAAGAGATCCATATTTGTACCCATTCCAAAGAAAGGTGATCCCACAGAATGCGAAAATTATCTAACAATATCATTAAAATTGCACACAAGTAACATCTTACTGAAGATAATTAAAAAATGGTTGCAGCAGTATACTGACAGAGAACTTCCAGAGGTTCAAGCTGGATTCAGAAGAGGATGTGGAACAAGGGATATCATAGCTGCTATAAAATGGATCTAGGCTCAAGGCAAAGAATACGAGAAAGATGTTTACTTGTGTTTTATTGACTATGCAAAGGCATTTAATTGTGTGGGTCATAACAAATTGAGGAGAATGGGAATTCCAGAACACTTAATTTTACTCATAAGGAATGTGTACATTGACCAGGAGGCTGTCATTCGAACAGAACAAGGGAACACTGCATGGTTTATAATCAAGAAGGGAATACATCAGTGTTGTATCCTTTCCCCATACTTATTCAATCTATATGCTAAGCAAATAACCCAAGAAGCTGGACTATATGAAGAAGAATGTGGCGTCAAGATTGGAGGAAGAATCATTAACAACCTGCGATATGCTGACGACACAACTTTGCTTGCTAAAAGTGAAGATGACTTGAGACACTTACTGATGAAGATTGAAGAATACAGCCTGCAGTATGGATTACGTCTCAATATAAAGAAAACAAAAGTCCTCACAACTGGACCTATAAGCAGCATCATGATAAATGGAGAAAAGATTGAAGTTGTCAAAGACTTCACATTGCTTGGTTCTACAATTGACGCAATAGAAGCAGCAGTCAGGTCATTAGAAGATGTATAGCACTGGGCAAGTCAGCTGCAAAGGACCTCTTTCAAGTGTTGAGAAGCAAAGATGTCTCTTTGAAAACTAATATGCACCTGACACAAGCCATGATATTTTCAGTCACCTCATGTACATGTGAGAGCTGGACAATGAATAAGGAAGACTGAAGAAGAGTTGAAGCTGTAGAGTTGTGGTCCTGGCAAAGAATGCTGAAAGACTGCTAAAAGAACTAACAGATCTGTCCTGGAGGGCATGCAGCCGAAATGCTCCTTGGAAGCAAGAATGGCTAGACTTCATCTCACCTACTTTGGTCATGTTGTCAGAAGGGATCATTCCCTGGAGAAGAATGTCATGCTTGGTAAAGTGCAGGGGTCAGTGAAAAAGGGGAAGGCATTCAACGATATGGACTGACAAGGTGGCTGCAACAATGGACTCAAATATAGTAAGGATCATGGAGCTGGCGCAGGATCAGGCAGTGTTTCGTTCTGCTGTGCATAGGGTCACTAAGAGTCAGACACGATTCCATGGCACCTAAGAACAACAACAGCAATAAAACAACAATTTGTCTTGCAGATAACCTCACCATGATGTTCAAAGCAGGCAGCACTGCTTGTAGTAGCAAAAAAAAGAGATATATCTATATCTATATATCTTTTTATATATATAAATGAGTGTTATATTACATATCTGTAACTAAATAGGATGGATCTATACATGTAAATATGGAAGGAGTTCTAAGATATAATCCATGAAAACAGCTAAGTGCAGAACAGCACTTCTGCCAATGAGTAAACATATATATATATATATATTATATATATATATTATATATATATTATGACATGACATTTCAGTTTATTTATATTTGCTTTAATGTCCTTTAAAAATGTCTGACGAGATTGCCTATAAATGTTAAGTAGGCTCTGAGGTGTAAGAGTGGGCAGCTTTAGAACTAAGAAAGACTTGTGGTTGTTAGGTGCCGTTGAGTTGACTCCAACTCAGTGACCCTATGCACAACAGAACAAAACACTGCCTGGTTCTGCGCCAGCTCCATGATCCTTGCTATACTTGAGCCTATCACTGCAGCCATTGTGTCAATCCATCTCGTTGAGGGCCTTCCCCTCCTTTGTTGATCGTCCACCTTAACAAGCATCACATCCTTCTCCAGGGAATGGTCCCTTCTGACAACATGACCAAAGTAGGTGAGACGAAGTCTAGCCATCCTCACCTCCAATGAGCATTCCGACTGTTTTAACAGATTTGTTAAATCTTTTCGCAGTCCATGGTACTCTCAGCATTCTTCACCAGCACCACAACTCAAAAGCATCAGCTCTTCTTCGGTCTTTCTTATTTATTGTCCAGCTCTCACATGCATATGAGGCGACTGAAAATACCATGGGTTGTGTCAGGCGCACCTTAGTCCTCAAGGAGACATCTTTGCTCTTCAGCATTTGCAATAGGTCCTTTGTAGTTGATTTGCCCAGTGCTATACATCGTCTGATGTTCTGACTGCTGCTTCCATTGGCATCAGTTGTAGAACCAAGCAATGTGAAGTCTTTGGAAACTTCAATCTTATCTCTATTTATCGTGATGCTGCTTATAGGTGCAATTGTGAGGATTTTTGTTTTCTTTATATTGAGATGTAATCCATACTGCAGACTGTATTCTTTAATCTTCATCAATAAGTGCTTCAAGTTATCCTAACTTTCAACAAGCAGAGTTGTGCCGTCAGTGTATTGTAGGTTGTTAATGATTCTTCCTCTAATCCTGATGCCATGTTCTTCTTCATATAGACCAGCATCTAGAATTATTTGCTCATCATATAGATTAAATAAGTAGAGTGAAAGTATACAACCCTGATGCACTCCCTTCTTGATTTTGAACCATGCAGTGTCCCCTTGTTCTATTCAAACAACAGCTTCTTGGTCTATGTACAGGTTCCTCGTGAGTACAATTAAGAGTTCTGGAATTCCCATTTTTCTCAATGTTACCCATAATTTGTTATGATTCACACAATCAAATGCCTTTGCATAGTCAATAAAACATAAGTAAACATCTTTCTGGTATTCTTTGCTTTGAGCCAAGATCCATCTGACATCAGCAATGATATAAGAAAGATTTAGTTGACTTAAACATACTATTGTACAATTAAATTTTTTTCATGGGGGATGTATTCACCTCTATTAAAAAAATGTAGTTGTTTTAAAAAAAAATCTTATTAAAAATAATATTCTATGGCTAGAGACTGAAATTGACTTTTTATTTGGGTTGTTCACAAAGGGAGCAAGGAGAATTTATTGGGTAAGTTTACAAGAAAATTCTTGTCAAAGCTATCCCAATTACCTCTTTACATGCACCTAGAGACTTGTCAGACATATATCATGGTCACCCAAATAGTGCTCTCCAAGAAGTGAAGACTAGATTTTTCCATGACAGTCCAACCAGATACACAGCAGCACTTATAAAACACAATGTAATACTAGAAATCTGCCTCCACAGCCCATGTGCTCAGTAATACCATGGAAGCAGTCTCCCTGTACCTGCGAACAATTTAAACAACCACTCTAAACCTTCTCAGTTGAAGGACATTCTCTATATGCAAAATTCTTTAAAAGTAATAATGCTTTAAATATCTTGGGATAAGTTAATGTATTCTTTATTTCAACAAATTTTAGAGTGAAATAGAAATCAGATAAGCATACTGTTGTGTGGGTCTGTGCCACCAACCCCACTGCTGGAGACTCAATTCAGACTTATAGCGAACCTATGAAATAGAGTAGAACTTCTCATAGAGTTTCCAAGGCTGTAAATCTTTATGGAAGCAGACTGTCACATCTTTCTCCACGGAGCAGCTGGTGGGTTTGAACTGCAACCTTGTAGTTAGCAGCTGAGTGCTTTAACCACTGTGCAACCAGGTCTCTGTGAACCTTTGCCAATAGTGATTAAAAAAGAAAATAGGATTTTGTAGAGAGCCCATATTGTTCACTATGAGTGGACAGTGGCCAATTGTACAAGATAATTGCAAAAACAAAATTTTATATTTGATGGTGCAGGAAAAAAAAAAAAAAAAGTCAATTGGTTCCTGGGACTTAGGTACTAATCTTAAAAAAGAACATTAGTTTAAATGAAAGGGAAGACTTGACAGTTGCTTTCCCTGGTTACTGGTCTTCATTTCATTAAGGGCTCAGATTGGGATGTGAAAATATAAGTAAAGTAATACTGCCTTTTTCCCCTTAACTCAATTGACAGAAGGAATAATCAAATAGCTTGATCTTACTGTAAAGACTTTAACTACAATTCTTAAATGCATAACCCAGTTCAAAGGGAGTTAGTTGATTCTGTGATAAATACTAAAATACCACCACCAACAACAACAAAAACTCACTGCCATGGACTGGGATCCGACTCATAGTGACCCCTCCTTGGGGTTCCCAGACATTATCACTACTGAAGTAGATTGTCCAACCTTCTTCCTTCCCAGGAAATACTATAGTAAGTCCCTTAAAGTAGTAAAAATTATCAATAATTGCATGTGAAAACCTAACAAACATTTATAAATATATATGCTGACATTAGGACTTACCCAAGAGTGTATGTGCTACTTAAGAAATACAATCCATGAGTATTAACAGACTTTGATTTTTTCCTCCTCAACAGAAAGCCAGACTCGCTAGGATCCGGGCAGCCAAAAGTGGCAGTGCAAACGCTTACATGCAGAGCAAACGGAATGGCTTACTCAGTAATCAGCTACAGGTACAATGAAGCCCTTTGTCTTTTTAAATATTCAATGTACTATGTGATGTTGATTTAGTTCTACTTAACCATAGAATTTCATCGCGGCTCATTATGCAAGTGGCTACTGAAACAACCAAAGAAGTGTTTTTGATCATCCTATGCACCCCATCTGGCTCTGATCCGGTTGCCCTGGAATCAGTTCCAACTCACGGAACCCTGTGTGACAAGAGTCAAACTGTGCTCCATAGTGTTTTCTGTGACCGATTTTTTGGCAGTATGTGGCCAGGTCCTTCTAACAACACACCTCTAGTGGACTCAAACCTTCAACCTTTCCGTTAGTGTCAGAGCACATTAACCCTTTGACCAGCCAGGGACTCGCTAATTAGTAGCAGATTTGAACCCAGGCTATAAGATATTGGCGATGAATCAAGATTCCCATTTATGATGGAGTGGTATTATATCTGCACTGACTCATGTCAACATGGGAAAAGCCAACACTCAAAAACCCAAATAGCTAATTTGTTTGTATTTCAAACTATTTATGTTCCCTAATGTTCTTTGGGGAGCTCTGGTAGCGTAGTGGCTAAGATACTTGCCTGCTAACCAGATGGCTGGCGGTTCAAATCC